TGCAAAGGTCCATGGGCAGACGCTTGTTTGCAAACAATGACACGCTATGGCCATCTGAAATTGTTGTGGATACTCAAGTACATGAAAAATCATATTATTATTTTGGTTATCACTGTATTATGTAGGAAATCTGTCTTATAAATTGTTAAAAAATGTTTGTTACAAATATGAAAGGATCCCGTTTTCAGACGTGGGGAGACTTGGCATTGGGACCGTTAGCATGGTTGATGCCCGTAACTGTTGCCATGTCAACATTTGGTAGTGTCAATTCCGGAGCTCTGTCAAATTCAAGGTAAGAAAATGACACGTGCTTAAATGTTGCTAACAATTCATATCAACTCTATTAATGGATGCACTGTGACGTTCTCTCTCATGTTCGTTGTATGTCTGTTTCCATAGATACGTGTTTGTTGGTGCTAGAGACAGGCTGCTGCCAACATTATTGAGTATGATACACATAAGAAATTTGACTCCACTACCAGCTCTTATTGCCATGGTAATACATGATTCTGTATTGTATCAGTAGTTTTTATTGAATGTTTAAATTCTGTTTACCAACGCCCAGCTCTACGGCACAATGTATATAATTTTTGGCAAAAGCTTCTCAGACTAGACATGCCGCTATAGATTCCAATACGTTGTTACAATCCAACTGCTGTAAAACTATTGCGTGGGTTCCAATCTCAAGTACGAGTCACTGTCACATATCAGTTATCGTGTGCCAAATGTGACATCAGCGTTTTTTTATATTGTTTACATTGCGGCAGTATTGTCTGCGGTATTTGTTTGTCATCGATCGATCAGCCGGGTCAACGGAACACAAAGCACAACATTTAAAGATAACATGCCATTTCATAGTCATGCTGATGTTGGTCAATTTTTAGTAATAACCTAAGTGATTGTACAAGTGGACTAAACTCAGGCAGCAACATTGTAGGACGATTCCATTCTTTTGTGGGGATTCTAGAATAATATTAACTGTATTTATTATGGGTGACTTATTTAGCAACAGAATTAGTCTACCACAAGGCCCAGATTATGACAAATAAAAATAACTAAATATATATAAAAAAAAAGTTGATATAAATAAAAGCAACAACAACAAGCAGATATATAACATTATGAGTTATATTTAAAACAAATATGAGTTAATATTGTTCATGCTCGCAGTAGCCTTATTGTTTGGGTTCCAAACCCTTGGTATTTGCTTGTGGGAGTACCATGCCATCCGCGTCATAGACCTTATCTGCCTGTCTCTAATACTTCTGGTAAAAAGATATATTTGCAGCCATGTGCAGAGATTAATGTGCCTCAAAACTGTGATCCATTTCAATTCCTTAAACATTTCCACAAAAGGCGTTGCATAATGACATCGTAGGATGATTCTCGTAACCAGTTTTTTTGGAATTTGAGAATTCGCTGCGCAAGAACAGTGTCACAAGTATGTCACGTGATACCGCAATAGCCTTTTAGAGATAACATTATGCAGTTAAATTGTAACTTGTCAGTATTTACATAAGTGTGTGGCGAATACGTTTGAAAAAGCCAAGTTTCCAGGATCTATCTGCAAATACCATGTATATGCTTTCGAAAGCTTTAGATTGTCACCAAAAATGACGCTCAATATTTTCCCCTCCGAGTCTCTGTTTATTTGTTCGTCTTAACAGTGAGTCGTATGTCGTGATTTTTTTCCTTGTCTCTGACTTTGTGCCTATAATCATATAGTTCGTTTTGGTAGCGTTCACAAATACCATTCTTGGTGACCCAGTTCACTACTAATCGGAAATATGCCACCAAAATTGTTCGTTAATTTCACATACAAATTTAAACAACGAGTGCGCATGTGGAAGTGCACCTTAGTCGTAGATCTCTCTTTTCTACATATTATGATGGTCCACTTTTTCGTCTTTGGTTTGCTTACTGGTGCAATTACATGTATGATAAAGAAGTATTTATGTATGTTTTTGTTCTCAGATGTTAATTACTTGTACGCTGTGTCTATATCAAGATACAAGCAGTTTAATTACTTTCACTGGCTTTTCGTATTGGCTGTTCGTGGGTATCGTCACTACAGGGTTGGTATGGCTACGGTATAAACGACCGCATATGGAGAGGCCGTTTAAGGTGCAGTATTAGCAAATATTATGATCATAAGACGACGGTGGGATCTAAGATACACAATACGTGTAATGTGATGCATCCAATGCATTATTTCGATTCGGTCACCATTGACTTACCCTCATAGCCTCGCTTTGACGTATGTGGGAATTTGAAGTTAAATTACTTTCACGAGTGACGCACGCAGTGTATCCTGTCGCGATCACGAAAAGAAAAAAACAACAAAGTAAATGGTTTGGCAGAAGCAAATCGTCGCGGTATTGTGGTGTACCGCTGTGCGTCGGACAATACAGGCGGCTTATTTGTATAATTTGCTGTGAAAATACCAAAACATTTTTAAATATACACGTGGCTTACAATTTGCATAATTATTACCTGCCTTAATTATAATTATATGTCATTGTGCGTATTACATGTGTGTAACACATTCCAAGAAAACTCAGGTTTAGATTTACTATGGACTATGGCAGTAATATACTGTATTTACAGGTACCTATTGTGATCCCTATATTATTTGCGCTTATATGTTATACCTTGGTGACAATCTCTATCTTCGCTGCGCCATTCGAAGCATTTGTTGGGACAGTTATCATATTAACGGGAATACCAATATATCTTTATGGAGTTGTATGGAAAAACAAGCCAAATTGGTTGAGAAAGTTTCTTGGTAAGTAATTTACATTATCAATCAATTTATATTGGCGATAGACTAGTATGACGTATTCATTTTTTGCGTGTTTATTTCAGATAGATCTTTAGAGTACCTACAGATGCTGATGTACGTGGTACCACAAGAGAAGGCTTCTTATTGAGATTCATTTTTCCGGAATATCAATATTGTCATTGATTGGCTCACAATCTGTGTATATCCATTCAATATCCATAGTAACAGAAACATATTACGTATTAAGAGATGACTAACTGATGAAGCTATTATATCGATTCAGAATCATTTTAGTATCGTTATGATTACTATAGGTGAGGTATGTCCGTTGTTGTTAGAAGCAGTTCAATCGTGAAAGCGTGTGTACAGTTGTCTGTAGTCAAAGTAAATGATGAACTATACGAATTGGTTATAAAAAGCTCACTGAAGTAGTCAGTAGATTGTAGATTGTAAATTCGTGTTGAAGAATGGCTATTTTTTTTAATTAGAACCTAAATGCGGCCTTAATTTATAGTTGTGTATATTCTAAACTATATTCAAAATAATATTGCAGTGGTTTAATTTTGTTTTAATTATAACTGTAGCTTGGATAGGCATTTGAAGTGCTTGCAATTAAACACCATGGAGGCCATTCATGGAGGGGAATAAATAACGAACGAACATATTTAACATCCGGGTACTTTTCAAAGCTATGACGTTTTAGTATCTGATCACATTCGTATACGCCATTGTACATAGCCGTTCATGCTGCCAAGCATTGTGTACTACTAGTATAAACTCAACTTTTATATGCACAATGTGCTTTTTAAAACTTGGGTTAGAGCCTTATGCGTTTGAACCACAATATTCTGAAAGTGAAAGCCCAATTGCGTTAAAGTATCGTACATGTACTTGCCCGATCGTAAGTCCCTCTCGAGTATGAAGCCCATCCCTATATTTTTACTTGGTATTTATCGAGTTGAGAGCATTCACGATTATAATATGCGTGTAAAAGGTGTGTTTCATTTCGTGAATGGCATGGTAGTTTGGTTCATGCTTTTAGTTTTATGAGAAAACTCGCATTAATTTCAGAGTGCATGGCGAACGTACACAACGTGGTTGGCATGCTTTCTATTTACTCAGGATGAACCCCGATGTTGCAATTCTGGAGTAATCCCTATTTCTTTGAGTAGTAGCTTTCGAAAAGCCAAAAATGTGATCGTTAAGTCGTGTACCTGGTTATTGAGCATGGTTTACTTTGAGACTATCATGAAAGGCCTAGGGTTTGAATGATGAGACATGTTGGCGACCGAGAAAGGTGTTTAAATTCTTCCTCCACACTCAGTTTACCCACGGTTACTATTAACCTTCATTTATATTTCGGAAATTGCGATTCGCCAGTTTTTAGGGAAAAAAATCATCGTTTTTTCGTTGCAATCAGTGCTACAGAT